TAAAATACTTCAGTTTGATTAGAGCTAGGTATAAGGTTTTTAGTTAAATATCTTGTGATTGAAATATATATTTTCATATACCATGCAGGATGTTTCGAGTAACAACTATTAATATAGGAGAGTTTTTTTAAGTTAGTATTATCTCAGACAGCACACGGATGTCCACTGAACGTCCGTTATATGTCCACTTTTTTTACAAAAAACGTCCATAGGACGTACGTTTGTCACAACTTCGGACATAGGACGTCCGACGGACGTACGTCCTACAGCTCCGATGTCGAATAAGGACATCCTTGTTACGTCCAATTTATGTCCACGGACGTAAATCGGACATACGACGTCGTTGAAGTTTGGAGCGTTCTTGGAGCGAAAATTGAAAATAACTTTTATTTAACAAAAAACCACTTAACATAAATGTAAATACATATAAAAGATAAATTTGTGTTAAATATGACATGACATTATAAGAAAGTTGTAATTCCCGAAAATTACGCACATATAATCATTCATACAGATTATAATTATTTCCGGCGCTCACAGCGCTCTGTGCCAAAAACTGACAATGCTTTCTCACTCTCTGGCATGTGGGAAAAAAGAAAAGAGTTAGTTTAATAGCAATATCGTCCCGGAACACTTTCGTTCTCCCCGAGAATTGTGTGCATACCACCACACTCAGACAGATTATAATTATTTCCGGCATTCACAGTGCTCTGTGCCAAAAACTGACAACGCATTTTCACTCTCTGGCATGTGGGAAAATAGAAAAAAATTAGTTTAACAGCAATATCGTCCCGGAACACTTTCGTTCTCCACGAATATGATATGCATACCACCACACTCAGGCAGATTGTAATTATTTCCGGTAGTCACAACGCTCTGTGCCAAAAACTGACAACGCATTTTCACTCTCTGGCATGTGGGAAAATAGAAAAAAATTAGTTTAATAGCAATATCGTCCCGGAACACTTCCGTTCTCCCCGAGAATTGTGTGCATACCACCACACTCAGGCAGATTGTAATTATTTCCGGTAGTCACAACGCTCTGTGCCAAAAACTGACAACGCATTTTCATTCTCTGGCATGTGGGAAAATAGAAAAAAATTTGTTTAACAGCAATATCGTCCCGGAACACTTTCGTTCTCCCCGAGAATTGTGTGCATACCACCACACTCAGGCAGATTGTAATTATTTCCGGTAGTCACAACGCTCTGTGCCAAAAACTGACAACGCATTTTCACTCTCTGGCATGTGGGAAAATAGAAAAAAATTAGTTTAACAGCAATATCGTCCCGGAACACTTTCGTTCTCCCCGAAAACGTTGTGCATACCACCACACTCAGGCAGATTATAATTATTTCCGGCACTCACAGCGCTGTGTGCCAAAAACTGACAATGCTTTCTCACTCTATGGCATGTGGGAAAATAGAAAAAAATTAGTTTAACAGCAATATCGTCCCGGAACACTTTGTCCGATTGATTCGGACAAGTACTGTCGCCAATTAACCAATCTGAATCGAGAAATAAAAGAGAAACATCCGATTTTGTCAAATCGCAAGGGAGTCGTCTTTCATCACGACAACGCCACACGTTTCGAAAAAGACGCTGCGCAAACTGAAGAGCCTGAAATGGGATGTCTTAACGCATCCACCGTATTCTCCTGATATTGCACCATCTGACTATCACTTGTTCTGATCATTACAAAATTATTTAAATGGAAAAAACTTTGACTCTTTGGAGGCCTTAAAAAACGGCGTCTCTTCGTTCTTCGAATCTAAACCGCGCAGTTTTTATGATCGAGGCATCCGTATGCTGCCAGAACGTTGGGAAAAGATTATAGAAAACGATGGAGAATATATCATTGATTGAATAAAGATTTCTGTTTGCCTAATCACTGTGTGACTTTTACTCACAAACTCCGCACGAACTTTTGCACTCACCCAATAGATATTGAAATGCATGTAGACTATTTTTATCCTGTTCAATCAATTACAATTTTCGTTGATAATTCATATCATTGGATAAATAACCAGGACACTTGCTTCTATTTACCCTGTATGTGATACATATATAATATGATGTGATAATATGTGATTTATATATAAGTTCACCTTTTACAAACATATCTGAATAGACTAACAAATGTATATGATTGTATATAATTTTTATAATAAGTATGACATTGTCTTAAAGAACTTTCCTATATTAATAGTTGTTACTCGAAGCATCTTGCATTTCATTACAAGATTTAACTCAAAACTTTATACCTAGCTTTAATTAAACCAAAGTACTTTATCTGAGATATATATAAAGATATTGAATACTGATATATAGCTCGATCAATTACAATTCTCATTGATAACTTATATCACTATAAATGCATCTGCGTGATTATGTTTACTGGTACATACTTATGTATGACGAATATGATTTATGAACAAAGTTTATCTTTCATAATATATTTATTTGAATGACAACGCAATTGTATATATGACTCTTATTTATAAAAATAATTGTTATAATTTCAATATTTTATATTGCAGAACATAAAGTTGAAGACATATGTACCTTACAATCATTAAATGATGACGAAATGAAAGAATTAATTCCTATTTCGGAAGAGCGAAAAAAATTGCAAGCAGCATTATTTACACTCACTACACCTGAAATTGTCATATTAACTCAGTCATCTGAAAATCTAACAGTATTCATCTTATATTTCGTATTGTATTTATTTTCGGAATTATATACTCCATTATATTATTTTTGTAAAGAATATCAATAAGGCTAATCTCTTTCTATATCTCTTCTATATCTCTTTCTATATACAGGATGTCTCAGACCTTTGGGACACGGGCTCCGTAGGGACATAAAGCTAAGTGAAAAGAACAAAAAAGTCCTCTACCATAATGTGAAAATCGTAAGAGTTTTTTAGTAATAACCGCGTAAAGTTTGGCGTTTTCCACGCCCATCGCGGCCTATAAACGCTCCGCGGCAAGCTGTGTATGTAGGAGCTGAGCAATAACGCATCTCGCGCTGACTGTCGCGATGGCGTCTTGGCGCTTTGACGCCGCGCGACGGTCAGCGCGAGCCGCGTTATCGCTTAGCCCCTTTGGCTACAGCTTGCCGCGGAGCGTCTATAGGCTGCGCTGGACGTGGAAAACGCCAAACTTTACGCGGTTATTACTAAAAAACTATTACGATTTTCACATTATGGTAGAGGAATTTTTTGTTCCTCTCACTTAGCTCTATGTCCCTACGGAGCCTGTGTCCCAAAGTTCTGAGACATCCTGTATAGTAGTTTTATCGTATAATGTTAATAACATATGTTTCTAGTGTATTTTTCTGCGTGTATATAATGTGGAAGTACATTAGAATTTTTCAATCACCTACAATTTTTGCGACAATTATTTAAAATTACATATACAGGGTGGTTGATTATAAGTTGCCAATCCGAAATGTGAAGGTATATTAGGTTAAGACAAACATAAAAGTCCCATACCGTTCTGCGAGATTCGCAATAATTATCGAGTTATTAATGACAGAAATCTGAGGAATGGGAGCGCGCCGACATACATGATTGGAGAAGCGTTGCAGCTGCTTAGGCCGCAGCGCGGCCCAATTGATCCAGAAACTGTTGCTGGTGCGTGGCGAGGGGAAAGACAATGCGCTGGTATTCGTTGTTTTATCTCGCCGGACCTACGTCTCGCCGCACGCCACCAACAGTTGCTGGGTCGAGTGGGCCGCGCTGTGGCCTGAGTAGCTGTAACGCTTCTCCAATCATGTATGTCGGCGCGCTCCCATTCTTCAGATTTCTGTCATTAATAACTTGATAATTATTGCGAATCTCGCAAAACGGTATGGGACTTTTATGTTTATTTTAACTCAATCTACCTTCACATTTCGGGTTGTAAACTTATAACCCTCCATCCTGTATATAATTTATTGAGGCTTATATTAGTAGTCCTTACAACGAGCATCAATACAGACTTCAGATTCTATGTGTATATAGATCCACAAGGTGGAGATCCTCAACTTTCTAGTCGTCGATTTCATTTTAAATCTTTTATATTAAAATCCCATTAACACAATAACTTTTTCATAAACAATATTTTTACTTAATATGTCGTCAGAAGATAATTTATTAAAAATAACGATTTTTTACTTACTGCAACATTTTTCCCTATTTAAGGATAAGATTTGATAAAAGCTGAGTACTAATTATAATTTTCGACGTATTTTTTGCTACTAAATATTAATCCATCCTCTACTTTTGACTATTGCACAATTTGAACATCATAATTTTGAAAAAATGGATTAGGAACAATAATTACTTTACCTCATTATTTTTTTCTTTTTTAGAGAATAATTTCATGGTCATTACCAAAAGACGTCAGAAATAACTTTTTACACTTCTAATGTTTAAACATCATTATGTTATTTATGTTATGTCTATACAGAGACAATATTTTCTTGTAACTAACAAATTACATCACAAGAAAATTTTATGTAATAGGAGAAATATGTTTCCATTGTTTTTAAAAGCAACATATTAACAAAATATTATATAAATTACCAACGTGATCCGTAATAAAAAAATGCTTTTTTTTAATTAGTAAAATTTATTATTGACATATTTATCTTAAGATGATTTGATTATTTCAGATTCCCTTTCCAGGGGAAAATGCGCTCATCAGATATTTCTGTTGAAACTAGTTCGGCTGATATTCACATAGAATCATGTGAAAAAAGATTAAAATTGACAACAGATTCGGATGTAGTTCCAATATCCTGTGATCCTTTTCGTGAAATACAAGAAATTTCAAACTTACATGATAGTAACAATGACATTAATGATACATGGTACACAGCTGATATTATATTAAAAGCTAATGATGTCATTAATTTCGATATTAGAAGTCTCTTGAATAGTTATATTATAGGGAGAGCTATATTACTAAAATATGAGAGAGAAAAATCTCTTGAAAATAAAGATCGTAATACTTTGTACGATATAATTATATGTCATTTTTTAAACGAAGGAAAACGACTTAATAATACATCAATAAGTATTTTGGCGAATAAAATAATTGAAATTTTTGAACGAGAAAGGAAGTCTTATTACGTGAGCCCTATTGGAAAACGTAAATCAAGACATAATAAACCTGAAGTAGCCAGAGGAAAGTTAATCGATAAGCATAGAAATAAACTAACTGTAATAAGGAAAACTCTAAGATCTTCTGCTTCAACAGTCCAAATTAAACTAAGTATATTTATTTTTGTATTACGTCACAATTTCATTAATTCCAAAGCTTGTCTGTTTTTTCTCATCTTGCAATATTTAATTTTATTATAATAAACAGCTATATCACAAGAGGCAAAGGACAGCCAGATATGGCTAACGCATAATAAAGGACCAAAAAATGATGTTTTGGAGCATTGAAAAATATCGTTTCCTATTAAAAAATAGAACAATTAACGCCACATGAATTTTTTGAGCAATGACCAATTTTAAAAACACAAGTTGCCATTGATTTAGTAAGTTATTGTTCTTTTATTGTAAATATGATGGTTTTATAAGGTTAATCATATTCCTGTAATAATTTACTTTTGCAATTGCTTTCAAAAACGTTATGTTGAAAGTTAAACGTCACACTAATATTTCTCATTTATCAATATTATTTTATTTATGTTTACTTATTTTATTTTTTATTTTTAAAACAAATGTGCTTTTCGTCAATCTTTTTTATACATTATATCCTTGCAGGTTAATTACGATTTTGGAGAACAATTTACCCACTTGAAAGAACCATTTGACATTGCTCAGAAATTTGAAGACTTTTTCGACTATGTATATAACAAACGTAAAACGCTACTGAGAGAGTGTGATAAATTTTTATTCCATTTACTTGAAAATCAAATAACAATAAGTAAGTCGTAATGTAGTTATAACAATATTCCGCTATTTTATATATAAGGCTTTTCTTTCTCACGGAATTTTTACTTTACGCCAAACCGAGAAAATACTAATTTAGTAGTTTTACAAAATATATTCAAATAAAACGATGTCCACAAAATAACATGAGAACTGTTATGTAAATGTATAAAATAGTTCCAATTCGTGTCTTTTGTTCTAATATAATAAAGAATAATTGAAAATAACGTAACATGTATCTTATCTTTCTTTATTATATCGTTTTATATCGTATTACACCGGTTACAACCTCTCTTAAAATTTTATCATATTACTTTAATGTTTATTTGTTTATTATTTTAGCGCAAAAATGATTGATTATCTTATACATCTACTTGATCGATTGCAAAAGAATATAATTTTATTATCATATTTTATTGCAACATATTAAGCAGCAATTTTGAGCGAGAATTTTCTTGCTTCATCATATAATATCATAATATCATAAATCAAATTGCCCGCAAAGAAACCGAACTTATACTGTAATATAATTAATGCATTAATATATATGATTAATCATAAACTGAACTGAACTGAAAAAGAAACTTCTGTCCCACCTCCCTCTCTCTGTCTCCCCCTCTCCTTATCTTCCCTCTCTCTCCCCAACCATCTATCCATTTATCCATATATTGTTTGCATATAAAATCTACTACGCTCTGTGCCTTTGTAAAAGCATACACTGAAGAAAATATGTATAGTTCTTGTAATTGTGGTGCTACATTAGAATTATAGTCTTAAGAAACTGTACTAATTTTTGCTACAGCACTGGTGACAATAATTTTATATTTATGTCAGAATAGTCATTTTTTTAAATGAACAAGAAAATATAGTTGTGGCCTAATAAAATTATAATTTTAGTTAAATTAATTCTTTTTCTTCCAGTGCAATTATTCATTTGTAATCGAAAATATTTTTTGTCATACATATACGTAATAACAGTTTTTGTATGTACAGTCTGTAAAGTAAGAGCATGTACGGGTTAATGTGTAGAAAAATTTATTTTTAATGATTTTTAAGTACATGGATTTGTTGTACTCCATGAGAAGAAAAATGCTATACCATTAATGATGAGTCCAGTCACCACCGGCATTGATAATTGCCTAGCATCTCCGAAGCATACTTTCCACTAAGTTGACTGCGTATTCGTTTGGTAAAGACCTCCAAATGAGACGAATTTGTCGTGTCAGCTGCTTCAAAGTGCAAATTCCTTTTCCTCGAAGCTTGTGCTTGAGATATGCCCACACATTTTCAATGGGATTTGCATCTGGCGACTGCGATGGCCAATCAAGTGTGACGATGCCAGACTACTCTTTCCACTCTTTCCACAGTGCAAAGCTTGTTCCGGTGTTTTAGGTCGTTGTCTTCCTGTAAGATCCAGTCCTCGTTTTTTTTTTATGAAGCATCGTTCAGTAGTCGGCAACAAACACTTCTCATAAATTTTAAGCATTAAGGTCGGGTTCCGTTTAAACAAATTCACAATTTTTTTTCCATATTCGGCGTCACTTTGCCTATCGAGTCACGTTTTGGCAAGTCATCGACATTTTTGATCTTCTTATATTGCTGAACCCACTTAGCGACGAACGATTTTGACTTTCCCATGTATTTAGCAGCCATTGCATATGACATTTTTAGTCCTTTGGGGTGGGAACAAAGGAACACAGCCTCGTAGCGCGATGCGTATACGGCACTCATGGCAGTTAACGTGTTTCTCAGATTAGACTTCGACGCCAACTGAATCTTTTGTGACAAAGCATTCACGACAAAGATTTCATCTATCGGCTCACAAAAAACTAGGACGATATTTGAAGCCAACTGCCATTTATGTCGTACACGCTCTTACTTTACAGACTGTATATGTAAATGCATGTGTGCATATTTCCATTAATGTATTCTTAATTAGATTCTAATTCTATTTTTAACAGATTCGAAAACTGCAATCCGTTTATTCCTATTATCTTCTTTGGTACCTCCTCACAGTAGAGCAAGAACAGGAAAAACGTTCTGGAAACCATTTATATCAGAAACAAGAGATGGTATTTTTTTGCACATAAAGACTCCTGGCGATATTGAAGCAGTTAAACAGAGTAAGATAGATTGCATCTACAAAAAGGGTTTGACGGTTCAACCTTATATAATAATCGTTGGCTCCGATTTAAACAATATTCATTATTTTATGTTATTCTTGATAACAAATATTATCAAACAAGCATACTTCTTGATGCTTTAAAATTTTGTTTCCAAATGTACTTCGTTTGTGACAAAGTATACACCAGAAAACCAACATCTCTGGTATTTGTTGCAATGGGAATTGTTTAACATTACATGTGAGAAAGATATAAAAAGTCCTTCTTTAAATGATATATTACAATTTAAACAATAGATGTAAACAGTCAAAATAATCACTAAGATTACTTTGTGTTATTTCCAATTTAAAAAAGTCGTGTATATATTATATGTACGATATATATTGTAATACATATTAATATATATATATTATATTACATATATTATATTATGTATATTATATTATATATATTATATTATATACAGGGTGTTTGATAGCTGATCATACAGACGAAAGTTGGAGATAGATTGGGTGTAGCCGAGAAGAAAAGTCATGTACCATAATGTCAAATTGGCAATAGTTATCGAGTTATTAATTAAAACATGTGAGCCAACGAGCGCGTAGAGAGCGGAGGGCGACCGCAGTAGGCACGTAAACATTTGATACAGGCGGAGTCAGCGAGTGGCGATAGGCGAGCGCGCGCGGCGAGGGGCAACGTAAACAACAAGAGGCGAGCGCGCGCGACAAGGAGCGAGCGAGCGCGAACGACGAGGAGCGAGCGAGCGTAAGCGACAAGAGGCGAGCGAGCGCGACGAAGAGCGAGCGAGCGCGACGAAGAGCGAGCGAGCGCGACGAAGAGCGAGCGAGCGCGAACGACGAGGAGCGAGCGAGCGCGAACGACGAGGAGCGAGCGAGCTATAAGGAAAAAGCTATAAAGAAAAAACTCGCTCGCTCCTCGTCGCGCGCGATCGCCTATTGTCGCTTACGTTGCCCCTCGCCGCGCGCGCTTGCCCACCGACACTCACTGACTCCGCCTGTATCAAATGTCTACGTGCTTACTGCGGCCGCCCTCCGCTCTCTATGCGCTCGTTGGCTCACATGTTTTAATTAATAACTCGATAACTATTGCCAATTTGACATTATAGTACATGGCTTTTCTTCTCGGCTACACCCAATCTACCAGTACACAAAATATTAATGATCACATTCCGGACACCCTGTATGTTTATATATAAAGGGTGGGGAGTTATAAGTTTATAACCCGAAGTGTGAAGGTAGATTGGGTTAAGATAAACATAAAAGTCCCATACCGTTTTGCGAGATTCGCAATAATTATCGAGTTATTAATGACAGAAATCTGAAGAATAGGAGCGCGCCGACATACATGATTGGAGAAGCGTTACAGCTACTCAGGCCACAGCGCGGCCCATTCGATCCAGCAACTGTTGGCGGCGTGCGGCGAGACGTAGGTCTGGAGAGATAAAACAACGAATAGCAGCGCATCATCTTTCCTCTCGCCGCGCACCGGCAACAGTTGCTGGATCAATTGGGCCGCGCTGCGGCCTAAGCAGCTGCGACGCTTCTCCAGTCATCTATGCCAGCTCCCACAGCGCTCCCACTCCTCAGATTTCTGTCATTAATAACTCGATAATTATTGCGAATCTCGCAAAACGGTATGGGACTTTTATGTTTGTCTTAACCCAATCTACCTTCACACTTCGGGCTGTAAACTTATAACCCCCCACCCTGTATATACAGTGTCCGGAATGTGATCATTAATATTTTGTGTACTGGTAGAACTCGTTAAAACAATTAAAAAAGTCCTGTGCCATTTTACAATTATTTCAATATTTATTCCGTAATTAATTAAAATGTGTAAACGAATGAGCGCACGAGAAACCGACAGGACGGGCTCTGTATATAAAAAGATGGCTTACCTCGCGCGGAGGGAGGCAACTGTAAGCGATAAAAGGCGTGCGCGCGCGACGAGGAGCGAGCGAGCGCGAACGACGAACGAGCGAGCGCAAGCGACAAGAGGCGGCCGCCCAGCGCTCTCTACGCGCTCATTGGCTCACATGTTTCAATTAATAACTCGATAACTATTGCCAATTTGACATTATGGTACATCGCTTTTCTTCTCGGCTACACCCAATCTACCAGTACACAAAATATTAATGATCACATTCCGGACACCCTGTATATACAGGGTGTTTGATAGCTGATCATGCAGACGAAAGTTGGAGATAGATTGAGTGTAGCCGAGAAGAAAAGTCATGTACCATAATGTCAAATTGCCAATAGTTATCGAGTTATTAATTAAAACATGTGAGCCAACGAGCGCGTAGAGAGCGGAGGGCGACCGCAGTAAGGACATAGACATTTGATACAGGCGGAGTCAGCGAGTGACGATAGGCGAGCGCACGCGACGAGGGGTAACGTATGCGACAAGAGGCGATCGCGCGCGACGAGGAGCGAACAAGCGCGAACGACGAGGAGCGAGCGAACGCAAGCGACAAAAGACGAGCGAGCGCGACGAAGAGCGAGCGAGCTATAAGGAAAAAGCTATAAAGAAAAAGCTCGCTCGCTCCTCGTCGCGCGCGATCGCCTCTTGTCGCTTACATTGCCCCTCGCCGCGCGCGCTTGCCTACCGTCACTCACTGACTCCGCCTGTATCAAATGTCTACGTGCTTACTGCGGCCGCCCTCCGCTCTCTACGCGCTCGTTGGCTCACATGTTTTAATTAATAACTCGGTAACTATTGCCAATTTGACATTATGGTATATGACTTTTTTTCTCGGCTGCACCCAATCTATCTCCAACTTTCGTTTGCATGATCAGCTATTAAACACCCTGTATATACAGGGTGAGGGGTTATAAGGTTACAACCCGAAGTGTGAAGGTAGATTGGGTTAAGATAAACATAAAAGTCCCATACCGTTTTGCGAGATTCACAATAATTATCGAGTTATT